AGCACAAGGTCCTGAGTTCGATTCCCAATACAAAACAAATTACAAAAAACAAAGCAAAACAAAAAAAAAGATGGGATAAATGTATTCAAAGCTAGGGAAATGTTGGGAAGGGAATTAGTGGCAGTGTCTTTTACTATAACAATTTTTAAAAATTTAAACACATGCTATATTTTTATCACACTTCATACTTCTATTTTTATAGGAATATGCTGGAAAAAACCAACTGCTTTTATGAATTATTAGTCATTTTCTGCTGGTTATTTTAAAAAAGCAGAGAGACAGGTCCCAATCCGAGTGTCACAGGGGTTGAGATGGCCCCGGTGGGAAGCTGTTGGTCACTGAATTTGATATCTGCATGGCCCACAGGGCCCACCAGTGCATTAGGAAACCTAGAGGGAAAGTCAGGCGGCTTTTGTGGTGGTTGGAGTTGTGTGCTAAATGGACCAAATGCATGGCAGATAAAACTAATGAGTGGGAAACATGATGGTGAGTGACAGGTTACGACACAAAGACAGAGACTTGCTTTTCTGATGGTAACGTGTGGAAAAGTAAAATCACAGCCTGGAAAGGACCTGTTGAAAGCGCCCCCATGTACCACGAGGGGAGGAGAAGACCCGGACCTGAGATGGCCAGAGGTGGAGCTCTGGTGGGAGTTCATGTGCCCGGTTCCCGGCACGAGCACAGCCCTGTGCTTTCAAACTAGGACTTCAGAAAGATGAGCAGAAGTGAAAATACACATGCTGTCACCTCACACTCTACAGCTTGTGCGTGACCCCCGATCTGATCTCTGTGTGTTTGCACAGCTGGAGCCCTGCTGTGCACACTGAGTGTGACACAAAGCTCCCCAGGCACCAGAGCCCTGCAGAAGGCCACGGGAGCAGGAGCTGGCCAGTGACAGACACCGTCGGCTACACATGCACACGCTTCCAACATTAGTGACCTCACGGATTGAACTACGAGTAATAAATTTATTTTGAATTCCATGTATAACGAGATGGGGCAGAAGACAAATGACACAAAAGGAGAATAAGGGCAGGAAAATGCAGGGGGAGGTGGCTTGGTCTACTCCCTGCTGCTGTAACTGAGTGCACAGACAGTAGTGTACAGGAAGTGGGGTGGCTCTGTGGGGGCCTCCTGCCGTGCTGGAATGCGGTGGAGGCATCACCCAAGAAGCAGGGCAAGCTGCCTGCACAGCTCCTGCTTTGTTTCTGGAAGGGTTTCTCGTGCCAACCTGGGGCGGGGCCCATGACCCCCTTCCAGTGACGGTGAGCCTTTCAAAAACCCAAGTGTCCAGACTGCAACCCCAAACCCACTTACTTATCCCAAAGTGCCAGCACTGCAATTGAACCTGAATCCTGAGGTTCTAGTTTAGAAAAAACAAATCATACATTAACATCTCTTGTCTTAGAAGAAAAACAAATGACATGCGGGTTGTAGGGATCGGGGCTATTCCATCTGAATCACCTCCCAAAGGCCACCGCCAAATACCACCCACGTCTGCATCTGGGGCTAAGTCTGCCCTCCAGGAGCATGGAGGGGTCACATCCCAGCTCCAGCAGAAGGGAAGACAAGGCTCACAGAAGACAAGCACGAGTGGGAAAGCACAGAGCCGTGGCCCCCACCCCAGCCTCTCCACACCCCAGCTCTCTCGCCTGGGAAGGAGTGGACTCAGTCCCGGTCTCAGATGGCTGGAGGGTCGCGTCGGCTAACGCACCTACAAGGCCAGCACCTTGGAAGGCCTCAGGTGTAAGCTGCTTTTATTGCTATGTCAATTCTAGGGAAAATATCCACTCTCTTGGTTTAAAGTATGGCTAAAAATGATTAAAAATTCTTTGATCACAGAATTATTCTATTCCTGTCTTTCCTTAACTCTTGTCATCTTGGGCTATAGATTTCAGTTCAGTCAGGTATTGGGGCCAATAAGGAAGATTTAAAGGTGGAGAATCCTGATTCATTGGTTCTAACTACTTTGCCTAAGATTGAAGAGGGAAAAATCTCATATGAATTGTAGCCACTTCCTTAGGCTTGTATTTTTATTTTTATGGCTACTGCTGTTATTCGCTTTTTCCAGAGAAATGCAGCACACTTCAGGTGTCTCAGTAGTGTACAGCTGTCCCTTCCCTGGGGCCCACATCCAAGGCCACAGTGGGCCTCTGTGTACTGTGTTCGCTGTACTCGTACCAACCTGTGACAAAGCTTAATTTACACATTAGGCACAGTAAGATTAACAACAATAACTCGTGATAAAGTAGAACAATTATAAAAGCATAAAAAAGCGATTTTAAACATACAAATCTTGTATTTCTGAAATTTTCCATTTAATATTTTTAGACTGTGTTGACCCCGAGTGACTAAAACTGCAGTAAGCAAAACCACTGTGAATCTCACTGTAAAAGCGTTTGTCCAGGGAGCCGGCCGGCTCCCTTTGACTTCTTAATATTTTCTCCATGTTGGCTGCTTTGGCAGAGGAGAATAATCTCCCCTTACCATGTAGAGCATGCTTAATGGCTTTAAAAGAATTCCCCAGCAACGAAGTAATGAGCTGCCAGAAATCTGCTGGGTTCCAAAGGCTCTGGGCTCATCTGTTCCGTTTATCGTGTGTTTCTTGTTCTTCATGACTAAGTGCTCACAAAAGATGTGAAAATGTAAGCCTCCAGAGCATTGGGGGTTTCAGGGCAGGAAGCATGTTTTAATGTATCCAGCCTCATTCCCAGCATGTGAGGACAGACGGTTAGGAAAGTACCAACAGCAGAAACCATGAGCCCAAGGGATGTGCAAGGCACTGACGTTACTGACAGAAGCAGTCGGCAGAACTGGGTGGCTCATGCAGAGACCCCAGTCTGTCCGTGTGCGAAGAGTCCTTTGCTCAGAACCAGGAGGCAGATGTCTTCTTCATTTAGCGGCCCCGGCCAAAGGGCCAATGGTGCCATATGGCACATTGGTTCTTTTTAAAATTTTACCTTAATAGCAAATCACATCTATTAAGAAAAAGAATTTTCTTAAAATCTTTTATAATCTGGGGAAACACTGGAAATACAGAAAAACCTAAAAGGTACTCTGTTTCTCCCTGGAAGCCGATAACCTGAGAGCATGCTCCTGATGAGTGTCTCCACCTCCCGCGCCCTCCCACTCCAGCTGCTCACCTGGTGGGTGGGGCCTGGTGGGGCCTGTGGCCCTTGGCTGCTCTGTGTTTCCACCTGGCCATTGCCTTAACTGCTGAGACTTCAGGGACTAGATAATTGTCTTCACCAGTCCCAGAGCCAGATTCTTCCTGGTCTCCACGAGACACAAAGCCGGGAGACACCCCTCGGGGCTGCTTCCCCGGGCCAGCAGTCTGGGCGGGTAGTGCAGTCTGTCTTCAAGCCTGCTTGGCACAGATGCTGGAATGCAGCCGGTCAGAGTGGTGTCGGCCAAGATCAAAGCCTGGCTCTGCTTCAGATTTGTGTGTATGATTCATATGTGAACTTTCATTCTTTATTGCTAATAAAATTATTTAAGACTCTGCATCATGACCATCTAGCCTTGAGCCTCAGGGTGAAACATCGTCTTCAGTCCATCTCGGGCTGCCAGGGTTGTCTCCTGTGCTGTGATGGGGATCTGTGTGATCCCTGGAGATAAAGCCTCAGGCAGAGTTCAGAAGAAAAAAACATGAGCATGATCCAGTTTGTTTTGACCTAGGAAAGAAGCAGAGCCACTCAGCTGCCTCTGCAGACTAAAGGTGGTGCCCCCCACCTGCCGGCAGGACCGTGCCTTACAGAGAGGCAGCAAGGATCCGTGAGACCTGTTGTGGTTAGCAGCTAGTGCATAGCACAGCACAGCTTGTGAGTTTAGGGCAAGGTGTGTAGTTGTTTGCAGTAGTTACTGAAATCAGTATTTTTGCCACTGATTGAACACAGGGAGAATGTAAAATTGTGGATTAGCACAAATTCTTAATGCCTGCACATGCATTTCTTATTAAAATACTTTTTGACACAAATTAGCACTTTTCTGTATATGAGATAGAGAAAATTATTATATACCTATAATGTAGAGAAGAAATATTACATGAATAAAATGTACGCCAGTGACAGCGAACCTTTTAGAGACCAAGTACCCAAACTGCAACCCAAAACCCACTTATTTATCATAAAGTGCCAACACTGCGATTAAACCTGAGTACTGAGGTTTTAGTTTAGAAAAAATAACTCATACATTAACATCTTATGTCTTAAAAAAAAAACCCACAATAACATGCGTGTCATAGGTTCATCACCACTGAAATAATCTTTTTTATACCCAGCTGTACATTTTTTATGATGTGGGTATATTACTCATGTGACTTACAATAGCATTCTTGTGTTCTTCTGATTAAAAATAGTTTAAATTTTTTACAGAAAGATCTGTTGATCCTGTACTTTAACATCAGTAAGAGAAAGGCATAACTTTCAGTGAGTTGGAACTTCAGAGGTTCATCTAGATGTCAGTATGAAATTAAAGCTGAATGTCAGAATCCCCAACATACCACGTGCTATTTCTTTATTTTTAACAAGAGAGTTTTACAGGTCTGATTCTGCACTGGAAACCCTTAGGTGTTTAGGGGTGACTGTGTGGAAGCTTTTAGTTTGCTCTAATGGCATTTGCTCACTTTTGCCTGGGTGCCATGCATGGAATCTAGAAAACCTATGCAGTGGAAGGAAAGAGCAGAATGAGGCTCCCAGAGCAGGCACAGTTGGCAAGAGGGCTAGGGGGCAGAGAGTGACCGTGGGTGCGAGGTTACCATTTTATAGGAGAAAGAGATTCTTATCATGGACTGCATGGTAACGTGGCTATAATAAACAATAACTTATTTTATATTTCAAAATAATTAGAAGAGAGGACTTGTTCTCACCACTGGAAAGTGATTAACGTTTGAGGTGATGAATACATTAATTTTCCTGAGTAGATCCTGATGCTGTGTCTCCGTAAGAGAGAGCCATCTTCATGCCTGAGGGGAACTGATTCTGTCTCTCCTTCCGTTACAGGCTCAACGTGGGAAAAGACATTTCGGCAGATTGGCTTTGAAAGGTAAGCAGGGGTTGGCATGACTCCACTTTTAGCTACTCTGTCCTGCTTTATTTTGAGTAACTTTTGACTTTTGATCTGGTGCCATTTTGCCTCTCTGAGTCTCAAGGTCTTGTAGAGCTAGAACTTTACTTTGTAAAATCCTTGCCTGCACATGCAGTGGAAATAGCGATTACATAGGACCTTTAGGTGAAAATGCTTCTTGGACTGTGAAACAGTACAAAACCTATATTGTATAGCTGCAGAATTACAGAATTAGATTGATGCTTTCTTAGGTTCTCCACCTCCTATGTGGCATGTTAGGTTCTACAGCAGGGAAATTTCCCTCCTCTTGAGTCTTCCTTCATACTTTGAAACGTGACAGAATAAGCACCAAGAATAGCAAAGTGAGTGCCATGTGTCCACCCCATGCATCGACAAGACTCGAACATCCTGTCATTTCCTCCCATGAGGCCACAGCACATCTTGGCAAAACGTGGGCATTTTTCCACCGCACCCATAATGCCTTTTCCATTCCTGATACCTTTCCTTAATATCCAGTCAACATTTAAATTTCCTGACTGTCACATGAATGTCATTGTTTGTGGTCTGAATGGGCTTGCTACAGATCCACACAGCCCTGTTACAGCCCTTGAGCCTCTTTGCATAGAGCAGCACCCACCCCTCCTCTTCTAGCTCTTTTTGGTTTTCCTCACATCGCTGACTTTGAAAGAAATTAAGTCTGCTGTCTTGTAGAACGTCTCCCATTCTGGCTTTGTCTGTTTGTGATATTGTTTGATTTATTATTCTAACTCCCAGTGTCGACTAAATTCCAATGATTCCACCTTGAGCCTTTGAGAACAACTTGAGGTCGGCCTCTTGTGGTTTTGACACCAACCTACTAGTGTTCTTTTGCCAGTTTCAGGCACCCCAAGCTGGCCGGGTCACCTGGTACCCCAACCTGGAGTCGGCTGGTCACCCATGGGGCCCTTTCTTGGTGAGAAAGTGTATTTTGAAACCACAATCTAAACACTAAGGGTGCTCATCCATTCTGGAGGTCATTGTTTCTGGGCTTCAATGATGGAAGTAGGAAATTTACTTTACTTTTAATGAGAAATCCTGAATTCATAGAATACTTCCAACTCTAATGTAGTCTTGCAAAGTTTTTAACTTCTCTGGTGTTAGATTTTCATCACTTTTTTTTCCCTGAAAATCATGACTCTTAACATGTTTCATTTTAAGTGTACGCAATCTCCTCAAAAATACTAATTTACCACTAATAAAAGATGACTGGATATAGTTTTTAAAATTTTTCATTTGTCCTAATTTGATGTTCCATTCAGGATGTATAATCAAAAGACCGAAAAGTATAGAATTCAAAATTATTTTTCTTCTCTTTCTGTGATCATATCTCAGACTTTATATGTAATTTGGTTTAAGTTCAGCATATTTCTCTTTCAGTTTATTTTTGAAGATGTAACATTTGCAAGAAAGACTCTAAGACCACATCCTTGCTGAAAGGTTTTCAGAGAAATGTTGGTTCCCCTCTTTCCCACATGCTCTGTGGCCTCTTTTGCACTAACCATGTTAAAAGCTTTGGGCTCAGCCTCTGATGTTGGTTTCTGGAACAGGGAGCCCTGTGCCTCAGCTCCGAGCTGAGGATGGGGGTCCCCTTCCCTTCTCTCTGGGTCCATCTCCCCTGGCCCTGTCCCACGTCAGGCTGTGAACACAGCACACCTGTGGGGGCTCGCCACACCAGGGGCGGGAGCCATCAGGGCCCTGATGATGCAGGGTCGCCCGGAACCCCCATGGGTCCTGGGTCTCTCTTCCCACCAGACCCCGCTCTGACGCAGGCTGAGAGTGGGTGTTCTGGTCCGCAGCATTACCCTCGTCCCATCCCGGGTCTATAGCCAAGACGTGCCAGCGGCCCCCGTAACTTCCCAGGGAGTCAAGCCTGGTGGGCCAGTGCTGTCCCACACCAGGCACATGGGCTTAAACCAGCGCACTGACGAGGGCTTTCTGCCTAAAGGGAATCACTATCTATTTGATCCGTTAATATGTTTACAAAGGATTGAAGCAGGTTCAGCCAGGTCACCTGCCTTCTTCCCCAACGCCAGTGCTCATGGGGGGAGACATGGGCCCAGGCCGCTGGCTTCACCTCCTTCTGCTGGAGCAGCACTGCCTGCTCGGCCAGGACAGTGGAGGTGGACAATCTGGCTGTGTCGTCTTTTAGGGAAGTATGTCAAGATGAATGACGGTTTCTCCAGGTACCTTAGGAATACTTTCCTGCCCACAAAGAGGTCAGTTCAAGTGGAATTTTGCTACGTGTTGCCAAATTTCCCCCCACAGTCTTCAATAGTTTTCACTCCCACCTGCAGTGCTTTGGAGAAAGCTGTCAAACTCGGGCCTCTGCCAGCCTGAGAGATAAGAGAGCATCCCGGCCGGCGGCCTTTCTCTGTGCATGGCCGGGTTGTTCCCACCATGGGCAGAGTGAGAGCTCTGCTTTGCCCTGAGTGAAGCACTTTGGGCAACAGCTGCACAGGCTGCCCAGGGCCGGGCCCCAGCCCGCTGCTGACCCCCTGGAGGATGTTTTCACGAAACCAGCCATGTGCCAGACGCTGTGTTAGAGCCCTTCCAGCTCACACGTCAGCCCTCAGGCGAGGAGCTGGCAGAACTGCAAAGGGACAGACAGGGAGCCGTTAGGGTATGCAGGCCACACAATCTCGCCATTTTTCACTTTTGCTGTTGGAGCAGAAAGCAGCCAGAGATATTGCGTACGGCTGTATCGCAAGAAAACTTTCTTTATAAAACAGGAAGCTCTGGGGCTCAGTGGTTCCATCACCTGCCTTGAAAGCCCAAAGTCCCGAGGTTGATTCCCGGTACCAAAAAACCCCTAGGAAACTCGGGACTTGGAGCTGCTGACGACCCCCAGTGTAATCTGCACAAAACACGGGGTTGCCAAGCTGGTGACGCAGAGGCACCGCGGCCTCTCAGATCTGTCTGCTTCCATGACCAAGCTTTCTACACTGTGCCACGCAGCGCCTGAGTTACAGGTCTCTGGCTCGGTGTGTCTGCGCAGCATGGGGAAGTAGCCTCCGGTTTCGAGTCTTATCGACTGTTCTTGCTTTAGGACTGTTTTGAATAAAGCCAGGCAGTATAGTACCCACATTACACTGCTTCATTCAGTCCGAATCGTCACGGAGGTGAATGTCCTTAGGGTACACAGCCAGGGATCCCTCACTGCTGCCCACAGCCTTGCCATCCTCCCAGACCCCACACTGAGGCTCACTGAGGGCGCTTGGTGATTGCTGTGTTCTTAGGTGCCGTAAAATGCTACTGTGTGTGTTCTCACTGAAGGGCACACAGCGCTCTGTGCCTCGCATGAGCAGATATTGGTGCAGGTGACCATACATTCACAGTTCAGACTGGGACAGTAGGGCTGCTAAAGAGGGCTTTGCCTTTTCCCTTTGCAACTTTAGCCTTATCTTTGCCTTAAAGAAAATCCCAGTGACAGCTCACAGAAAGCCGGCTGGTTCTACAGAGCAATCCTCAGCGATATCAATCTTTTCCTTGTGTGTTTCCTTGAAGTGTGGCCCTGCACCTGCAGGCTGGCAGGTGATTACACTCACACTGCCACAGTTTATGTTTATGTGGCTGACCCCATGGCAGGAGGTCAGGGTCCCTTTGCACACAATTGCGTCTCCCCTCTGGGGCCGACAGGAGTTCATTCAGGGTTTCCTCAGAAGTGCAGTAAGGTGAGTGCGTGCCTGGCGCTCCTGGAAAATCCCATGGATGTCTACACAGCAAGGTGCACTCAGCTGCTTTGTTGCTGTAGTTTCTGTTTTGGTTTCAGCTAGAAATCTCACTTTCTGTGGAGATTTTCTAAGTTTATGATTATGGCTCAGTCGTTTATGAGTCCGTGTTACAGGTGTGCCAGGCTAGCACAGCATTGTGAACCGATGACACGCCGATGTGCTAAGTAAGAGTTACCAGCAAAGGTGGCTTTGCAACTGGAATGGCAGTGGCTTCCCACAGCAGGGCTCGCTTCCGGCTCCTGCAGGTGCCGAGGAGGCCATGGCAGTGTGTTGGCCGCGTCGCTCCTTCTGCACCTTTGTGCCGGGTGACGCTTGAGTATGCCCAGGTGCCATAAATGTGCCCCCTGCAGGAGGCATTTGTCACTGCAGCTCACTTGCCGTCCAGCCATGTGCCCAGGAGGGACTGCAGGCAGGAACGTCAGAAACCCTAGCAACACCTGCCCCGGAGCCCTCCAAACAACGTCTGGACGTGGTTTTCTCTTTATAAAGCTATGCTTTTCCTTAAGAAAAGATACTTCAGCGAGTAAGTAGGCTTAGCACAGAGTGAGAGAGGAGGTCTTGCTCTCTGGAAAACCTCATTGGGCCGATTTAAAATAACAACTGACTGCTGAGCTCTTGCCCATCTTCATTTAAAAAGCAAAGAGCGATTCTCAGGAAGTGTGTGTCATCAGCAGCGCCCTTACCTCCAGCGAGTCTCCGTGACGCTGTACCCCATGGCCCGAGGAAGTGCCTTGCGGTTCAGAGAACTCTCCAATGCAGAGATTCCCTGCAAACGGCTGCTGTGATGCAACACCCCCCCAGGATGTCCCCACAGGGCAGACAGGACTCCGAGGTGTGGCTGTGCTCTCCCTTCAGCTGATCCCTGGACCCGCCTCCTCGCTCCTCTATGCTGGACACGATTCCCTGTGGACCTTTTCCCATCCCCGGTGCCCCAGGCCCTGCTCCCCTCATGCTGTTCATGTGCTTCTCTCAGCCCTGGACAGGCTGCTTGGAAGTATTTTCCCTTCCTGTCTCGTCCTCTAGATGAGAAGCCTGAAGTGTGCGAGGGCAGATCTGTTCTGAAGTCTGGTGTCCACACCTACTGGGTAGTGGGCTGAGCTAGTGACAGCCTGGTTGGGGGCACAGGCACAGGGTCGCAGGGGAAACCCCGCTGTGGGAAAGCCAAGCTGGAGAGCAGCCAGAGTGTGTTCCCCTGCGTCCACCCTCAGA